GGGACTGATGGATTTTTAACTGACCCGTAATTAGATCCCAACTAAAGGTGTGGAAGGTCAGACCAGAGCTGGGGTTTTGCTTCGTTTTTGGGTGTGGATGTGGCAGAAGTGAGAGGTGCAGTGGTGGGGATGGAGCCTCTCCTCCCAGAGCCAGGCTGGATCTCCCCTGGGATGAGCATCCAGGATCCAGCTGCTCCAGAGCTGTGGAGCTGCCAAGGACTCAGAAGGGACCTTCATGTTTCCTTAGGGCTGAGCCACTATAAATAAATTCTGACCCATGTGACATTGTCACAGTTGGAGATAGTGGCTCATTCCCTATTCCAAACATAATGTTCTTGTATTTTGGGATGGATTTTTAAAAGCAAATTAATTGGAAGCGTTAATGTTTTAGTACTCACAGGTTCATACACTAAGAATGGAAGATCTGGAATAAGATATTTTTAATAGTTTGATACTCATTTATAGTCATAAATAAGATAACTATAATATTGTAATTTTAAGTTACACCATTAATAGCTGGAATGATGCTGTCAGTCATGCCCAGGGCCAGCTGGAACTCCGGGTCCCTCTCCAAACCCTCCTACTTCTTCCTCTCACAACCCTGACTTTCTCAGCAGCCTGGGGGAGAGACCCAGGTCCTGGAATTCTCTGAGAACAGTGACTGAGGCTGAAGATTGCCGGGTGGGACTGGGGCTCTGCAGGAGGGACACAGCGCAGCCTCACGGTGTCAAAGTCCTCGACCTGTCCCGCATCCATCCTGAACTTTCGAGGAAATTTGAATTGAAATTGGGTCCTGCCCCGCACCCCCGCTCCTTCCCACGCTCATCCTTGGACAACGCTTCAGCAGCGCTGAGCTCTGGCTCTGGAGCACATTATCCTGTGCACGGAGCTTTCCCAGAAAGTCACACTGAGAATAACAGGGCGACCGTATATCGAAAATAGGTTCCAGCTGGGAATCCCCTGGCCTGATATTTCATGTTTGGATCCATTCGTTCGGTGAAGATAAGGAGAAGGAAGAGAAAGAGGAAGAGGGAGGCTCTTGGCACGGCAGAGCTGCAGTTTCCAGTCCCCCTCAGCCGGTGTGCTGCGTATCCCACCTTCCCAGAGATGGGACAATGTCACGCTCATCTTAAGCAGCTGGTTGGGGTTGTCCTCCCTCAGTACCCTGATTTCACTCTTCCCATCTCAAACTGCCCACTTAACTCTCAGGAAATCCTGCTGATTTTTTTTTTTTTTTTTTTCTCTGTGTCTCCTAATAGCTCCCAGCTGGTATTCGCAAATTATTTGAACACAATGCGGGAAACATTCACTATCCCACTGTTCTCCAAGCACAGGCTTTATGGAACTTTCAGTAATTTACATCGTGTACTCCCGGTAGTTTTTTTTCCCCTGCAGCCCCTTTTCTCCAAGGAAATCCCCCCAAGATCTTTCAGTCTCCAGACCACCCCAACTTCCCCGCGGCATCCCAGGAGTGTGGGAATAACCAAAGCAGCGAGCTAAAAATCAAATCTCCCTTAGAAAACCGTGGAAATCCCGGAGGATGTATTTACCCGGCAAGGAGTGAAGGACCAGGAGCACCGCAAAGCAGAAGTTCATCGTTCCCCGTTGGGTGTCGGCTCCGCTCCTGCTCCGCGGGACCTTCCCGAGCCGTCCCCGCGGAGGCAGGAAATGACTCGGGGGGCGTTGAGCCGAGCAGGCTCCTCTGCAGCGCGGGAGGGAACCCGGGTTTGTGGCCGGGACTGCAGAGGTGTCGGGCCGAGCGCGCACTGAGCGCTGCCCGCGCCGCCGCCCCGGCGGTGCAAGAGTTTCCCGTTGCAGGGGCGTTTCGGATGGCTGAATTGCAAATTTTGGGAAGTTTTCCCCCGGGAGAGTTAATGCCGATGGATGAGTTCTCATATGGAGGGGGGATGGTTTTGATTACGGAGCAAAGCAGAGCTATAAATAGCAAATTCTTCTGGGAGAGAAGGCAGAGATGCTGACTGGGAGCCAGGGTCAGTCCCGACTTCCCGTAAAATCTTGGGGGATTTTTTTTAATCTTGGCTTCATTTCCCCTTCCCGTGCCTCAGTTTATTTATCAGGAGGAAGAAACATGAACGGTCATGCATTTATTTTATTTTATTTTATTTTATAGTGGGTAAAAACATCCTGGGGAGAAGGCGATAGCAGAGCTGCTGCGATCAGCTGGCGGCATCCAGATGGGAAGGAAAAGGGGAAGCAAAGGAGACAGAAGTGAATCTGGTAGTGTAAAATTAGTGTTTCGGTGACTCTTGAACACGGAGGTTAGAAAACCAGGAAATAGCGAGAGGAGTCTTGCATAGTACAGGAGGAGCTCTGTTTTGGGGTGCAGGGCCATGGAATCATGGAAGGGGTTTGGAGTGGCCTCAAAGCTCATCTCATCTCCTGTTGATGTTAAACCGAAGATTTCTGTAGATTTTAAGGATTCTAATCAATTTTAAACCAAAATCTCCACAAAGCAGACTTTTTCCCTACCAAGAATGGACCCAAATGAAGAATTTTTCCAGTGGATCCCAAAGCCGATTCCCAGCCTCCCTGGGATTCTCTGTGCTTTACCGAAGGAGCTTCCCCCATCTGTAGGGAGATGTTAGGCAAAGGGTTAAGTGCCCAGGAATGCCGAGCAGGAAGTGAATATCTTCAAATCCTCCTCTCCACATGGTCCTCCTCTCCCTCCTCCACAAAAATAACATCGAAACTCAAAAATCCCAACCCAAGCAGAAATCTGAACTTGTGAAGAATCCCAGCAGGGCTGGAGCCACCGGCTCAGCCAGGAGGCTCTGAGAGAGCACAGAAGGGTTAAAATATTCTGGGATTAAAGGAATGGGGAGGGAAGGGGCGAGGAAGGTCCCTGAGGATGGTTATGGCTTATCAGATGAGTGGATGGGGTTGAATGGACAAACCCTTGGCGAGGGAACTGAGAGCCAGAATTCAGTGGGATTTGCTGGCTCGGGGCTGGGAATGACCCTTCAGAACTGGATGTGATGGAGTAAGACTTGCAAAAATTGGGTAGACTTGGAGAATCCACTGAGAGACCTGGATAAAATATGCCATTAGGTGGTAAAAGAGGAAAATAGCTGCTCTTCCCTGGCTGGGACCAGCTGGAACATCCCAGCAGCATCCTGCATCCCAGGTGCAGATCTCAAATGGTATTTCTGAATGGAAAAGGAAACTGTTCTATTTTTATTCTGTTTTTTTTTGTTTGGTTGGTTGGTTTTTGTTTTTTTTTCTTTTTACCTTTTTTCTTACTGATTCTTCACATCTGGCAACACGGAGCAAACCCATTGCAGCCACAGAAAGGAGGCAGACCAAGGACTTTTCCCAAAACCTTGTTCCCTATTCCCCAAATTCCTATTTTATTCTTCCTACTTTTATGTCTTTATTTTCTAATTATTAAAGGTTTTTTTTTTTGCCAAAATGCAACAGTAAAATTTGCCACAACAACAGAGCAGGAAATGAGGGACACCTTTCCTAAGGGAAAACTCAACACGTGAACCAAAGCAGAGGGAAAAAGGAAGGAAAATGAGAAAAAAGGAAGGAAGGAAGGAAGGAAGAAAGAAGCTCCTGGTTCTTGCCATGCTGAGGGGGCTGCATCCCAGGGATGCTTTGGGCATCCAGAATGTGTCGGGGGGTTCAGTCCAAGGAGGAAGGTGCTGAAGTCAGCGGTGTGCGTTGTGTCATTTCCCAGCTTTAATAGGCGGAAGCAAAACGAGGGGAAATTTATACAACGCAGTCGGTAACTCCGGTTCTTCCCTGAACAATGCCTTGTGCCCAGGAGATGGCATTCGCAGGATTCCTGCGGAAGAGGCTGGAGGAGACATTGTTTGGAGTTTTCCTTGCAGGAGACGTGAAGGTGGATGAAAAATCCAAGCCCTCGTGGCACCAGTGCCCAGCACTCCCTGCGGGAGGTGGAACGAGCTGCCCATCCCATGGGAATCTAGAGGGAGGGGATTTGGAGCCGTCCAAGCTGTTCTTGCTGGCTGATGGAATTTCTTAGACTAAATAAAGTTTTCCTGCTTTTCCCAGCTCCTCTGTAAACAGCAGCAGCAGAGGGGTAGGGGACAGAATCAGTATGGAAGCTGTGAGTGGTTTGGAATAGAGAATAAAATGCCGGTTTAAAGAGGAATTCCTTGAAAATAGAAAAGGAGAGGAAGAGAAGAGAAGAGAAGAGAAGAGAAGAGAAGAGAAGAGAAGAGAAGAGAAGAGAAGAGAAGAGAAGAGAAGAGAAGAGATCCTGGGGACAGGTGACCCTCCAGACAGGTGACCCTGCAGATGGGTGGTTCTGGGCACAGGCTGTGTCAGGTGTCCCCACGGTGTCCCCCAGTGCAGCCACTGTCCCGAGTGTCCCCTGTCCCCAGTTCCGGACTGGTCCTACCCCCCCCATGACGGGGTCCTCCGGGCCGGCAGGGGGCGCTGTGCCGCTGCGCGTTGTGGTGCTGGCCAAGGGCCCAGTGGCGAGTCTGGGAGGCCGGCAGGCCACTGAGGGGCCAGTGGCTGAAGTCCAGGCCTGGGGAACTCAGGACAGGACCCCCCCATTCCCTCGAGTTTGTCACTTTGGGGGGGTCCCTACCCCCGGTGCAGCCACTGGTGCTGGGGGTGATGCTCTGGGGATGGGGGGCACCGGGACTGGGATGCTCTGCCTTTCTCACCCCTGTTCACCCCAGAGGGGTTGGAGGTGCAGCTGGGGGTAAATTATTTATTTTATTAAGAGTAAAACCCCTTTACAAGAGCACAAGACACTGTGGCTACTGGGGTGAAAGGGAGCGGGGAGAGGGGTCACTCCCCCCATTGTTCTCTGCTCCGGTCCTGGGGGGCACCCGGGGGATCCTGGTTTTTTTGGGGTGAGGGGATTCAGCCCCAAAGCCCCTCAAAGGCCTCCGTTCCCTCCCCACAAAGAGCCACCAGGAGGGGGAAAGGCCTTTATTTGCAGTGGGGGTGTGGGCAGGGGGGCTGGGGGCGGTGTGGACCCCTGCCAGCCCAGCCTGGGGTCAGCGGGAGTGCCCGGTGTCCATGGGGGAGCGGCGGGAGGAGGCCTTGAACACGACGTCCTGTGCCTGCGCCCGCCTCGCACTGCTGGGGCAGAAACCAGGGTGGGGAGGGGGTCTCTCCATGGAGCTCGGGGCCCCCTGCAGTGGGGGTCCCTCGGAGGGGGTGGGGGGGTCTCACCGCATCCGTTTGGCCCCAAAGTAGGCGGCGAGGAAGAGGCCGACACAGCCGGCGACTGCGCCGAAGATGATGGCGATGATCTCACCTGTGTGACGGTGCGGGGGTGGGGTCAGGGGGGTCCAGGAGCGACCCCCCCAGCCCAGCCTCCCAGCCTGGCCCTACCTGTGGAATATCCTTCTGGCTCTGCAAGGGAAAGGCCGGGGTCAGGGCCAGCACACAGTGCCCAGCTGGGGCTCCAGGAGCCATTGAGGGAGGGGTGCAGGGGGCCCTTCCCACCCCTCGCTCACCCCTGGGGAAGGACGAGAGCACCAGGCGCTGGTTCAGCTCCTGCGGGGCTCGGAAATTGTCCACCAGGAGCTGGGGCTCCTCCGGCTCGGCCTCCTCCGTGGAGTAAAGGCTTCCCTGGAGCTGCTCCAGCTGGAAGGGGAAGGAGGGAGCACTGGGGTTGTGTTCACCAAACCCGAGCCCTCCTCCCCGAGCGGGTCCTACCTGGGCCCGGCTGATGCGGACGGGCTGCGGGAAGAGGGTCCAGAGGACGCTCTGGAAGCAGGGTGGGGTGGTCAGGGACCCGTTGTACCGGTAGTAGCGTTCGAGGTGCACGGGCAGCAGGTCCCGGATGCTGAAGCTGGGGATGGCCACTGTCTGCCCTGTTGGGGGGAGCAGTTGGGGGTGCTGGGAGGGGGATTTGCGGTTTCCCCCTCCCTCTCCTCACCTGCGTAGCGGATGCTGCCGAGGTGCCTCAGGATGTTGTCATAGGCGGGGTGGGGGTCATCTCCCACCTGGGGGAGTGAGTGGGGGTCACTGAGGGGCTGGGAAGCGTGGGTGGGTGTGTGGGGGGCGTGGGTGTGGGGTCCGTACCTCCAGGAGGACGCCGAGCACGGCCAGCCCGCCGGGGTGCTGCTGCGCCGCGCTGGCGTCGGTGAAACGCTCGGCGTCAAAGTGCACCACATGCATCTGCGGCACAGCAGGGACCCCCTGAGCCCCCGGCCCTGCCACCCCCAACCCCTGCCCCGGCTCCCAGCCCAGCATCTCCTGCAGTGCCCGGATCTGCCGCCGCTCCCGTTTCCCACCCTTTTCTTCTTCTGCACCCCATCCCCTCCCTGCACTTAATTAACATCTCTGGACCCATTTCCCTCACCAGGACCCCTTTTCCATTCCCTGCAGCAAATTCCTGCAATGCAAACCCATTTTCCACACTGTTCCCATGCTGTTTCCCACGCTGACACCCCTTCCCACAATCATTTCCCACACAATTCCCATGCCATTTCCTGACCCCAGACCTGTTCCCCACCTCATTCCTCATCCATTTCCCGCCCCCACACCCATTTTTGGAGCTATTCCCCGGCCAGCCCCCAACGTCCCCCGGTACCTCGGCGGGGGCGCGGTGCCCGTCCAGCAGGTGCTCAGCGCCGGCGGCGTGGCCGGGCCGGCCCCAGTGGAAGTGGAGCTGTACGGCAGTGAAGGTGTGAGGCAGCCCCCGGAGCCGCAGCGACGGTGGCAGGGCCAGCACGGCTGTGGGACAGGGGGTCAGCAGAGCTGGGACACCGGGACTCCCCGGTTGTCCCCCCGGCGCTCACCGGTGTGGCCGTTGTTGGCGAGGGTCAGCCGGGGGCTCTCGGGGTGCTCGTAGCCCTCGGGCTGCAGCGGCGGCAGGGACAGGTCCGGCTGTGCCCACGCCGTGCCAATGTCGATGGGTGACTGTGCCCGGCCCCCGCACTCCGGGTGTCCCTCGTGCCAGTGCTGCTGCCCGTGGGGACCTGGGGGGGACCAGAGTCCAGGTGGGACCCCCCCACCTCACCCCAGTTGCTGCTTCACCCAGCAGGGCCCCGTGACCCAAAACGCTCGCGGTGCCCCCCAAAGCGGGACACGGGTGACATTCCCAAGGGCCTCGTTAATCTGCTGGGGACATTTTTTCCGGCCGGGGGAGCGGGGACAAAGCCGAGCCTGCAGGGCCGGGGGGGCACCCATGGGTCCCCTGGGCCCGGCAGGATGGGGCTTAACGGGATTTGGCCAAGGCCGGATCCTAATTAGATTTGGCAGCAGGAGCCTTATGTAAAGGAGCACAAAGGGACCATTGGAGCGAGGGGGGCAAAGGGGGGCAGGAGGGGGAAAATGGGGGCTGCACCCATTCACCCCCGCCTGTCTCCGGGGACCCAGGTGGGTGCCCATTTGGGGAGCCCCAGGTGTCTACGGGGGAGCGGGGGGTCTGTCACCCACCCATCTTCTTCCCATTTGGGGGACCCAGATGTCCAGGATCAAGGGGGAGCTGTCACCCATCCTCCTCCCTACCTTCTGGGGAGACCCATGTGAGCCTCTCGGCTCAGGGGGTGTAGGGGGTGGTTTCGGGGGTGGGGATAAATGGGGGCTCCCTGGCAGGGGCCCCACTCACCCTCGTACGTCCAGTGGGGACCTGCTGGGAAGAGTGGAGGCATTGGGGTGGGGGGTCAGCTGAGCCCCCCTGGCCCGACATGGGGGCACCTGAGGGGGGCTGGGGCTGCACCCCAGAGCGAGATCTGCCGGGGCACATCGGGGGGACTCACCAGCGGGCAGGGCGGGGGCCAGGCCCCCCAGGAGCAGCAGCACGCTCAGCATGGCGGGGGGCAAGGGGGGCCGGGTGCCACCGGCCCCGTCCTAAATACCCACCCAGGGGGACGGGCCCCCCCGGGGGGACGGGGAGGGCTGGAGGGGCCATGCCCGGGGTGTCGAGGTGTGGGGAGGGTGAAGATGAGGCTGTGGGCTTGCAGGGGCTCTGGGGCTGCGAGCTCTGGGCTTGTTGAGCTAGGGATTTATAGGACTGAGGTTTGTGGGGCTCTGGAGGGCTCTGAGGGTTTGGAGGAGCCTGAGGATTTGGGGGGCCTGAGGATGGGTCCTGGGCCTTGTGGAGGGTCGTGGGGTGGGGTCTTGGGGGGCTCTGGGGGTCACACTGGGCCTCGTGGGGGGAGAGCTCGAATGGGGCTCCGGCTCTGGAAAGAATTTTGGGGGGACGATGAGGGGGTGGAGGAGGAGGGTTTGGGGGCGCTCGGGGGGGAGCCCCAGGCAGACCCTGCACGCGTTGCCCGACCCCGCCCCTCTGGGGGAAGCCCCGCCCCGAGGGCGTTCCCCAGGCGCGAACGTGACGTCACACAGCCCCCGCCCCCACGTGGGGGCCCACGCGCCGCCTCGCCCCGGTTATGTAACGGCTGGGGGCGGGGCCGCCCCGCCCACTGGCCCAGACGCGCCGCCGGTACCGCTGCCCATTGGCTCGGGGCACGGGGGCGGTGCCAGCGCGCCGGGGGTGGGGCCCGGGGGCCCGCAGAACGCGCCCCCGGCCCCCCCCGCTCCCCGGCAATGGGCGCTGCCGGCGCCGCGTGCCCCGAATCGCCGCGCGAGGGGGCGTGGCCAGAGCCCCGCCCCTCGCCCAATCAGCGCGGGGAGGCAGCACGAGCCAATGGGAGAGAGGGGGCGGGGCCCCCCGGGGCTCAGCGGCCAATGGGAGCGGGGCGGGGCGGGGCCCGGGCTGAGGCACGTGCGGCCGCACACGTGTCCGCGTGGGGCCGCCGCGGGCGGGGCGGGACCGGCACCGGCACCGGAGACACCGGAACAGCGGGGCCGGCCCGGGGCCAGCGACCGCGGCACGGGGACACTGGCACGGCGACAGTGCGACTTGCTCAGGGACATTGACAGCGGCACGGGAAACGGGGACAGCGATACAACAGCATCGGGACAGGAACGGGGACGGTGATACTGGAGCAGTGATACCGGCACTGGGTCAGGGACGAGAACAGCGACACCGGCAACGGGGCACCGGCGCTGGGACGGGGACATCGGCACCACCAGGTGCAGCCGGGAGGAGGTGGGATCCGGGGTGACCGAGGCCGGGAGTGGTCCCGGTGACGGGGTGGGGGGTCCTGGTCGTGATCCTGGCGGTCCTAGTGCGGGGAGGAAGGTCCCCATCACGGGTGGGGCTCCTGCAGGGGGATCGCAGTGTTGGGGAGGGGCCGGTAGGTGATGGAGTGAAGGGAGCTGGTGGGGGGGCCGGGGTGTCCCAGGGCTGGGGGAGGTTGCTTTGCCGGGTGGGGGGAGAGGGAAGTGTTCTATGGCCGGCGCTGGAAGCGTCCTGGCACCGGGGATGGTCCGGGGTGCAGGATCCCGGTGCCAGGTGGGTCCCTGCAGCCCCCACCTTGTCTAAGGAGATGCCAAATCTGCTCTCCCGGGACATGTGAGGTGGCACTGGGGGTGTGGGGGTGACACCCCCATGGGAGAACAAGGTAATTGCTTGTCTTCCATTTTTGTCCGATATCCCCTTTTTTTTTTCCTCCTCCCCCAGACAGCCTCGGCTCGGTGACCCTGCTGGAGCTCCCCTGGGGGAGCCAACCCCGCCATGGAGCCCCCCGCCCGCGCCTGCTCCTGCGGCTCCCCTGCCTCTGACAGCGAGGTCGAGGTTGGCAGCTCCCCCCGGAGTCCCCCCAAACCTGAGCGCAGCCGCAAGCGCCCGGGGGGGCTGGACCGAGCACCCCCTGAATCGCCGCCGTCACCCCGCGGGGGGAAGCGCCCGCGGAAAGGGGAGGGGGGGGATGTCCCTCCCAGCGATGGCGATCGCCTCTTTGCCCAAAAGGTGAGTTTTTGCCAGAAAACGAAGAGGCACCCCCAAAGATGGGAGGGCTTGGTTCTCTCTTGGGTCTGCCTCAGTTTCCCCGCCTGAAACTGGTGGGTGGGGATGAGCAGGATTTGGGGGCTGAGAGGGCGGTGAGCGGGGTTTGAGGGGGATAAGGGGGTCGAGGGGGTGCACGAGACCCCCTCCCCAGTCTGGGTGCAGCCCAGTCACATCTTTTCCCCTTCCTCGCAGTGCCGGGAGCTCCGGGGTTTCATCCGGCCGCTGGCAGAGCTGCTGGAGGGGCTGCGGCGGGGCCGCTACGACAGAGGTGGGTGCCCCCCACACTCTCTATCCCACCCCGCCACAGGCGCCTCTTTCCTATGGAGAATTAACACAGTTTCCAAACTCCTCAGGGCTGAGCAGCTTCCAACAGAGCGTGGCCATGGACCGGCTCCAGCGGATCATTGGGGTCCTGCAGAAACCAGAAATGGGGTGAGTGTCCCCAGACGTCCCTGGAGGGCGGGCACAGGGACATCCCCGCCGGTGTCCCCCTCCGCAGAGAGTGACAGGAGCTCTCTCTCCCCGCAGTGCCCGGTACCTGGGGACGCTTCTGCAGGTGGAGGCAATGCTGCGGCTCTGGTTCCCCCACGTCGCCCCCAAACCCACGCTGGACCCAGACCCCACCACGACTCCCCCGCGCCGCCGCCCCCCTGCCGGTCCCCCCGGGGCTCCCCGGTGCCGCCGCCTGCCCGGGGACCTCACCGGGGACCTGCCCCTTGCCAGCCCCGCGGGAACGGTCCAGCAGCGTGGGTCACCCCAGTGCCAGGCCGGGACCCCTGAGTCTCCCCCGGCGCCGGATGTGTGACACCCCCCCCGGCTCGGGGGGGGGAGATCTCGTCTGTATTTCTTGCTTTTGCCTTTTTTGATTGTTTTTTTTTTTTTTTACCGGTGGTCAGTGAGACCCGCAGGCGGGCGGGACTGACCAGGGGGGTCCCGAAGCCCCCCAGAAGCCCCAACCCCGGGGCGGCCGCGTGCCTTGGCCAGAGCGGAGCCCCCTCCCCGCGGGGCCCGGGGGGAGCTGGGCCTTCCCGGGCTTGTGCCTTCCCCGTGGCGTGGGGTGCTTGCGGGTGAGTGTGGCCCCCCCAGAGCGGTGGTAGGTGGCTGAAGAGTGTGGACCCCCCGAGTGGGGATGTCCCACAGTCGGCCCTGCTGGAAGCAATAAACGCCGCGGGAGCGGCCGGGGCCACCCGGTGTCGTGTCGTGTCCTTTGTCACTTAGGAGGGCGGGGGGTGGGTTCCTGTCCCTGTGGGAGTCCGGTCCCCAGGGGGCTTAAACCCGCTCCAGGCCTTGGTGCCCCTTCGTCCTCGCCGCTGTGGGACCCCGAGTGCCCACGGTGCCTTCAATCCCGGCTGCGGGCAGGGCCGGCGGGAGAGGAAAGCCCGGGACCTCACAGACCCCACGCGTGTCCCCGCTGTCTCGAGCCCCGGCTCTGCCCCGCCGGAAGTCCCTGGCGCACCGGAAGTCCCTCCCAACGGAAGTTCTGCCACAGCTACTTCCGGTCGGGCGCGCGGAGCGGCTGCGGCATCACCGGGTCAGTTGGGGAGAGGACCGGGACCGGTGTGACCAGGACCAGCCGGGGGCGGGGGGGAGGCCCGGAGTAGGGGCAGCGCCCCGCCAAGATAGTTCGTGAGGCGGGAGGGTCTCTGCCGTGTTCCCCTGGGGCTCTGCGGGAAAGACCGACCCCTTTCTGTACCCGGGATTCCTTGCCGTGTCCCGGGGCGGGGGACAGGAGGGACTGGTTCCTCCGAGCCCCGGGGCCGCCCGGTCCTAGCTGCCCCGTCCCGCAGCAGCGTTGCTATGGCGAACCACCTGCGCTTCGTGGGCCGCACTGTGATGGTGCAGAACGGAAACGTGGAGGGGGCGTACGGCGTTCTGAACAGGTGAGGATCGGGGGGAACCGCGGGGCCAGGGCTCCACAGCCCGGCTGGCAGTCGGGGCCGGGCGGAGTTTGGGCCCGGAGGGGCCCCAATTCTTCCCCTACTGGGTTCAGAACCAGAATTTCTTGAGCAGAAGGTGACGGGAGGGACGTGCCGGGCTTTTCTCATTAGCTCCATGTTCCGCCGCCCCCTCGGTTGCGGATGTAAGTAGAGCGAAATTAAGGAACAGCTGAGCACAGAACCAGGCGAGGGCAGCGCTGTTCCTTGGAAAGCGGAGGAGGGGACGGTGCCATCGCTGAACTGCGTGTTCAGCACACACCTTCGCTGCTCCCACCTTAAACGAAGCTCGGGGGGAATTCCTTCCCCTCCTCACTCTCCTCACGGATGGACAGCGAGGAGAACGAGCTGAGGGTCCCCGTGGGGACCGAGCTGTGCCCAGAGTTTGCAGCGGGGGGTGGTTGTTCCTCCCTCCTTGCACATCTTAGAACCTTTCCTGCCGCTGTCACCGCTCTCTCCCTTCCCACAGGATCCTGGTGCAGGACGGCGTGGCCGAGGCCGTGCGGCGCTCCCGGTACTACGAGAAGCCGTGCCGGGCGCGGCGGCGGCGCGCGTTCGAGGCGTGCCGGCGGGTGTACAGCGCCGAGATGGCGCGCAGGATCGCCTTCCTGGCCCGGAGCAGCCGGCAGGACCCGTGGCTAGGCTGCTGAAGGGGGCCGGCCCCAATAAAGACACTCTCACTCTGATGCCCGTTAATTGAGTTTGGTTAATGAGGGCGCGAGGGAAGGGGCGGGGCCTGTGGGCGGGACGGGGGCGGGGCTTAGCGCGCGCCCGGGGCCCTCCTTCCCGGCGCTCCCCGCGCACGCGCCGCGCGCCCGTTTCCGCTTCCGCCCCGACGCGCCGTCACCGTCAGGGGCTGCCGGGCCGGGACCGGGAGCGGCGTGAGGGAACGGAGCCGGTGAGGAAAACGGGGCCGCCTGGGAGGGCATGGAGGGGACGGGGAAAGCGGGCGGGCTGCCGAGAGGGAGGGAGGCGCTGGCGGAGGCGGGCCCGGGCCCGGCCCGCGCGGAGCCGCTCGCCCGGCGCGCCGCGCTCAGGGGGCCGGGCCGGGCCCCGGGCGCAGCTCCGCGGCAGCGGGGGATGCCGGGCCCTGCGGGGCCGCTGGGGTGCGCGGGACCGGGATAGGCGGGAGCCCCGTGTCTCCCGCGGGACCGAACTCCGTCCGTCCTTGTCTGAAGAAGGCGGCGGAACCCCGGCGCGGTTGGGCGGTGCTCGTGTGCACTTCCATTGATCCTGATGCGGGTTACGGGGTTGTGTCCCCCGGGCGCTCGGAGCGCTGCGGCTGCTGGAACTGCTCCCCACGATGGCTTTGCTCTCCCGGTGTTATAGGCGAACACCCGTAAAGCTGCTGCTTTCCCTGCAGCTCTTACTGGAGCTCGGGTCGGGTGGAGGCTGAACCGGCTCTAATTACACTAGTTCTGTGGTTTATTACGGATGTGCTCAGAGCTGTTGGTGTGTCTGGGCCGTAATTCATTAGTTCTGTTTGTCTTAGCTTCTGCAGGGTCAGAACTCGTGGGGGAAATGCTGGAGTCCGGGTTTGGGCTCTATTTAAACCTGTCTGTAAGGAAGCTGCCAGGAAAAGTATAACCTGCGGGGGTTTCCAGGCTCTGGAGGGAGCCCGGGCTTTGCAGGCAGCATCAGTCACCTCCTGGAACTGCCCACGGACCTGAAGTCAGGGGCTCTGTGTTAGGACTGAGCCTCGGGGCCCCATTCCCGGGTCCAGGAAGGATAACTGGACCGCAGGATCCCAGCTCCAGGAAGGACAGCCATGCCGGGTGTCCATCCCCACAGCCCCGCATTGGTGCCGTGGCCCCACAGGGCTCCTGTGAGGGGGAGTGCCGCGGTCGGGCTTGTCCCTAAGGAGATTTTCCCCGCGGTTCCCAGATCCGATTAGGGCCCGGAGCCAGTTAAAAGCAGTTGCAGCCGCAGCCCAGGCTGTGAGTGCTGCAGGATGTGAGGGGATGTGACTGCCGGGAAACAGCCCAGATTTGGGGCTGCACGTCGGGGAAGGGGCTCAGATTTGTTTGTGCCCCTAACATGGAGCCAGTGGGAGCGGCAGGTTCTCGTGTCCCACATGTTCCACCTGCAGTGCATCTCTCTTCCCAAACTGTGGAGTAGCCCCATGGAGGGATCTGGGGGACTCGGAGGACTTTGTCACTGGGGAGCTCAGGGAGGGTCTATCCTGAGAACAGCCGTTCCAGTCTAGCTTGGGAAGCAGGAGTCCTGGGGTGCATCTGTCTGGGATCCCTGTGGTCAGTACCTTCCTCCTCATGGAGCTGGGCTCATCTTAGCCCAAGGTTTAAAAACGAGGGAGCACAAATTCTCTCCCAAGAGCATTTCCCAGCTGATCCCGAGGGAGAAAGGCGTGGAGGTGCCCATACCCTGGGATCCTGTTCTATGTCCTGTGTGTCCTTGCAGCTCTGAGCCGGGTGGCTCCGCTCAGCCCCGGGCAGAGATGTCGCTGTCCAAGCGGGAGCTGGACGAGCTGAAGCCATGGATCGAGAAAACGGTGAAACGTGTGCTGGGCTTCTCGGAGCCCACCGTGGTCACCGCCGCGCTCAACTGCGTCGGGAAGGGCATGGACAAGAAGAAAGCGGCCGGTAAGTCCAGGGCTGGGTCGGTGAAACAGCCCAAAATTCCCCAGGGTGCACGGGCAGGGGCACAGGGCAAATTCTCTCAGCCTCCATGAGGTGAGTACGGGTAAATCCATCAGACCAGACGCAGCGGGAAGCCTTGGAATGCACGACAAAATCTGATAAGGAAAAACTAATTCCTTATTCAGGGAACTGGAAAGGGTTAATTTAACTGAGGTACTTTTTTTGCCTATTACAGTCCTACTTTGCTTCTGCATGAGACCTGGACTCCTTTAATCCTTAGTTTAAAGCTCCTGACAAAACGATTCACAGATCCCAGGGGCTTCCAGAGCCTCAAAGGCCTCCCTGTGTTTGTAGAGTTGAATCGCACTCAAATTTTAAGTGGCTTACATCTTCCAAGGAATCTGTGGATTCTCCATCCTCCCGCTCACCTCAAACTCAGAATTCTGCACTGATAGGGTTTTCTTCTTTTCTAGACCACCTTAAACCTTTCCTGGACGATTCCACCCTGCGATTTGTGGACAAGCTCTTTGAGGCAGTGGAGGAAGGACGAAGCTCCCGGCACTCCAAATCCAACAGCGACCGTAACCGGAAGCGGGAGCTAAAGGTGATTATTGATTATTGATTGCTTTTTTTTCCTGTGGTTGGGTGGCCTGGAGGCAGCACTGGTGCTCTGGCACACTCTCCTCTTCCAGAGAGGTACAGCTCGGAACGTTCAAGAGAAACGACTCCTCTCCATGATGAAGTGTGGGAGCCTTTACCTTGCGGTTCTCTTTCCCAAAGCCAAGGTGGAAGCCTGGCTTTGGCTTTCTGTTAGGCTGGTGGAGCAAATCCATGGGGATCCATTTCCCTTCTCCTTAGTGCTCCTTGTGCTTGTATTTTCAAGAGTTGCTCCCAGTGACTCCCCATCGCTCCCTGTGTCCCAGCACAGAATGTGGGGCTCTGTGCTGGATGATCTGGTGGGTTCTCATTCTTTTTCTCCACACAGTAGGTGGTTTGTGGCAACTCCTGTCATAGCACAGGATTGATTCCACCTGGGATTCAATTACTCTGGTGTTTCTCCCTTGCCTGGCATGGTGGAAG